ATTGATGGAGAACACCGGAAATAGCTGTGGCCAAGTCAGCCAGCTCCACCTGAGATCTGGTACCTCCTGAAGAGCATGTGAACTGGGGCTGGGGGTGGGGAGACTGATAATGGGAGCCACAGTCTGTGTTTGACAAATTTTTTTTTTAAAGATTTTATTTATTTATTATGTATACAACATTCTGCCTCCATGTATGCCCACATGCCAGAAGAGGGCGCCAGATCTCATTACAGATGGTTGTGAGCCACCATGTGGTTGCTGGGAATTGAACTCAGGACCTCTGGAAGAGCAGCCAGTGCTCTTAACCACTGAGCCATCTCTCCAGCCCCCTGACAAATTTTTTATATGTGATCTTTGAGTATATGTGAGGGAACTGAGTGTGGAGAAGGATGCTGGGCCCCCAGAGAGGGAGGAAGCTGGAAGGAGGGAGGCTGGAGTAGGGAGAGGGATTGAGTAGGGAGTCAGAGGGAGTGAGCAGAGCCTTGCCTGGCTTCTGTGGAGTGCTGACTCCACGTCCTGGATTCGCTAACCCCTCCCCACGTGGCTCCAATCCTTCCCCCCCACCCCCACATTCTCCCCTCCTGCCTCGCTCGCCCAGGTCTCAGAACTGCACTCTGTCTCCCTGTATGAGTAGGCTAAGGCTCTTGTCCTTTGCCTAGCACAAATTCAGGTTCCTTTTGTGCCCCCCTCCTTCCACTTTCAGCCACTGCAGCCCCCCACTGGGAACATTCCGTAAGGCATTGTTGCGCAATCAGGTCCACAAAGCAGAGACTACCCACTGTCCCCAGCCCTCACCTCTCTTTCTCAGTTAAGCTCCCTAGGAGAGTAGAGGCCACTCAAGGTCCTTGATTCTTTAACCCCTCCCCATCCGGCTTCATTGCCAACTTCTTCCCACCCCACCTTCCAAGTCCTTCCTGGCCTAGTCCCTCATTGCCATGCCTGGTTCTCCTGCCCTAGTTTGTAGCTTTTGATGCTTTTCTGGATGACAGTCACCATTTTCTACCTGCCTCTCACTTCTCCCTCTGCTCTCACGGGGGTACACAGGTGCCTGGCAGGAGAGATTGCAGCTCTGGGACCTCCAGCTAGTCTTGCCTTGCTCCAGCTAGTTTTGTCTTGCTCCAGTGTAAAGGAGAAGCTGGGAGCCTGTTATACGAGCCTGGCCCTCGCCTCTTCCCAGTTTCCCTTTCTTTCCCTCTTTGCAGCTATTTTCCACAACACAGATAGGCCCAGGATACAATTTGGAGTCAGCGAAAGCCAGGTATGACAGTGGGAGCCTGCAATTCCAGCTTCTTGGGAACATCAGACTGAAGAGGTTGGCAGGTTCAAGACCAGCCTGGGAAACTGAGTGAACCCAGACTCAAAATAAAGAGTGAAAAATTTAGCTTACTTAGCACACACAAGGCTCTAGGTTCACTCTCAGGCACAAAACAGAATAGAACAAAGCAAAAAGAGAGTTTCAACTGTGTACCTCTTCGAGGAGGCCCCAGGAATGGAGGCCTCACCTTCGAGCACAGCAGTGGCCAGTGTCAGCCCCCATTTCCAACTCCCTGACCAGTGGAGTCATCATGGCATCAGGCATCAGGTAGCAGCCAGACAGTACTAAGTGAGCGCCACACTCCAGGAGAGATGGATTTTGCAAGGCAAACAATTTCACCCTTTGTCTTTCCGAACTCAAGTCCTCTGAAATAGCCTATGTTTTCCTTTCAGAGGAACTGTATTTATTAAATAATAATTACTCAGGAGAAAAAATCCTCCACGTGAGGACCGGAAGTTCCCTGTGTGGAACACTGCTATATATCAAGTGCATGTGTATATGTGTATGTGTGTATGTATGTGTATATTCATATGTATATGTGTTTGTGTATGTATATATGTGTGTATGTATTTGTGTGTGTGTTTCCATCACCGGGTCTTCCATATAGAGTTTAAAGGACCCACTTGCTATCCTTCTCCTCTGCTACGCTCCCCTCTGCCCACCTTTCCTTCCTTTTTCTCCCCTCTCACTCTCTTCTCTCCCTCCTTCCTGTCTTCTCATCCTGGGGATTGAGCCCAGGGCGTCACACACGCTAGACTTGAGGACACTTTTATATGACCTAAAAAGCAAAGCACTAAACTATCTATTTAGATTACTAAGTTAGTGTAACCATGGTAGCCATTGTCATCAAAGCCCTGAGTATCATCAGGGTCAGGAATGAGGTGAGGGCAGGGACATGTCTTAGAGCTGAGCTCTAGTATCCAACAGCAACAAAGGCAAAAACTCAACCTCCTTTTCTGTTTGGGTTTTCCCATTTTAACGTGGCCAGATCATAACTCTCTCTTTACTAACTTGACCACTTCAAAGTGGAATGCATATGTGTCCAGGAAGGCATCAGCCAGACAAGGCTGGGGCTAGGGAATCCTCTCCCAAGGCAAACATTAACAGCTATCTGATCTCGGCAGCTGTTCTGTAAACAGTGTGCTAGGACTGTGTGCTTCATACAGACCAGAACCCCACTAGAATTAGATAGGCTGTGATTAATAAAAAATAGAAAATGAGTTTATTATTATTATTTAGTAAGTATAGTTGGCCTGGCTGGCCTCTTCCAAAACATAAGGCAGGTCTGAAAAAGTCAGAGCAAAGTCCTCAGACTGAAGAGAGGGCCAGGAGGAGTGGGAGAACCAGGTGAGTGTGAGAACCAGGTGAGTGTGAGAACCAGGTGAGTGTGAGAACCAGAGGAGTGTGAGAACCAGGTGAGTGTGAGAACCAGATGAGTGTGAAACCAGAGGAGTGTGAGAACCAGGTGAGTGTGAGAACCAGAGGAGTGTGAGAACCAGGTGAGTGTGAGAACCAGGTGAGTGTGAGAAACAGGTGAGTGTGAGAACCAGGTGAGTGTGAGAACCAGGTGAGTGTGAGAACCAGGTGAGTGTGAGAACCAGAGGAGTGTGAGAACCAGATGAGTGTGAGAACCAGAGGAGTGTGGGAACCAGGTGAGTGTGAGAACCGGGTGAGTGTGAGAACCGGGTGAGTATGAGAACCAGGTGAGTGTGAGAACTAGGTGAGTGTGAGAACCAGGTGAGTGTGAGACCCAGGTGAGTGTGAGAACCAGGTGAGTGTGAGAAGGAGGTGAGTGTGCGAACCAGATGAGTGTGAGACCCAGGTGAGTGTTAGAACCATTTATTCTTAGAAATTCTGCCCTTAGCTCCTCTTGTTTCTCCAGGTGATTTCTCTACCTAAAGGGCGGGAAACCCCTAACACACACACACACACACACACACACACACACACATACACACACACCCTGTGAAGGGAACTTGTATGTACCAGCATATTGTGTCTCAGATGGGGCGGAAATGGAATCTGGGGGAAGAGAGTCCACAACCTGGGTACATCTGGAAACGGGCAAGACTCACAATGTCTTGCCTAAAGGTTCCCTGAAGGTGACCTTTGCGAAAGAGACAAGTGATTCTCAGTGTGGCTTTGGATTTGCTCTGGGCTGAGAGCACCTCTGACTCACTTCTCCCTATGAAGAGTCTTGGTAATAATGACAGCAAGGCACAAGACACCTTGTAGGTCCTCAGCCTGCTCTGCCCCTTTCTCCCCAGGACTCCTTTTCTCCTTGCCCTGTCATGCATGGAGGTTCTGCTGGGAGGTCTGGCTTGCTTGGTGTGGCACAGAAGAACGGCTGGAATCTCTGGGATGTTTAAGGGTGGTGGGGAGGGATGGAACTTTCTCATATCCTTGTTCAGAATAACACTTACAAGGCACCCAGAACTTTCTCTGGAACACTTGTTTTTTCTTTCAGGAATGGACTTACCACAAGATTCATTAAGGGAAAACAGGAGGGCAACCTGAGAAGAGTTTTGGGTGGGAGAGGGATGCTCTGAGAACCATGGGGAACATCAACATCAGCACCGCTTAACGGTGATGTTCTTAGCACAGCTGACAGTGCTGGGCAGGAGCTGCAGCCAGGCCATGCTCACTCTCAGGTGTCTGAGGTTGGGGGCCATTTCTGGATTTCTCTGAGCCAGTTTTCTCATCTTTAAAATGAGGCCTCCAGCAACTGGTCTTGCCGCCATCCCAGAGCCCTCCTGAGGACACACAGACATGTCCAGGATTTGGTGCAACTCAGTGATCCTCATAGGATGTATCAGCTCAGCTGGGAACTTTATAGAATTCACACCAAGCCAAGAGCCTGCCTACAGAGATAGACCCTTGAAGCCTGGCTCTTAACCAGCCCTACTATCTCACCATTAGCTTTGCTTGGTACCATGGACTCAAGGTGGCACAGTGGGATTGGTCTACTCGTGCCTGGTCTGCTGGAAAACTGAGAGGCTGGGACAGGCCGAAGACAAACTTCAAGAGTGTCGTGATTCCCACAAAACGGAAGGGCCACGAAAGGAAAAGAAACATTAGCATTTAGGCTGGGGAGATGGCTCAATCCAGTCCAGAGACTAATTTGAATTCCCATCACCCACATGAAAAACTAGGCGTTCTTGTAACCCTGGTGCTTGTGGGAGTAGAAACAGGCAGATCCCTGGAGCCCTGAAATTGCAGGAGGAGACCCCAAACACACTAACCAGCCAGCCAACCTAGCCAGTCAGTGAGCGCAAGGCTCTGTGAGAAACCCTACCTCAAATGTAAAGTGGAGCACATTCTCAGGATCATCACGGGGCCAGAAAACTCCAGACGCACGTGAACATGTAACCGCCACCACCTACCCCTCAACACATACATGTGAAACACAAACCAGTCAAACTGGACACTTAGCTTTCTGTGTCCACCCTAACTATAATTAGTAATAATTCTGAAGATAGTGCGTATGTTTATCAGCTCCACTAACAGTCTGTGCGCTTCTTCGAAGGCAAAAGATATCTTTGCTGCCATAGTCCACCTTCAGCCATTGTATTCCACTAACGGACCAGACTCTGTGGCCCTTGGCATGCTTGGGCACCCAGGGACATGCTCCCCCCAGATAGGACTTTAGTCTTCTTCAGGGGAGCTGGTCTATCACCATACATACCTGTAGGTGTCAGTAGCTGGCACTTTCCAAATCTGGATGCCCCTCAAGGGCCCTTCGCTCCCCACCACCACGCTCAAGTTGGAGTTCTGGTAGGCGTTGTTGCACTGGGCCTGTGTGGGGCCGTGGGGCCCGCTGGCCCCACATGTGGTGAACAGCCAGTGAACTGTGACATAAAAGGAGAGGGAGTCAGTTGCTTACCTCCTCCACAGGCCTCCCTGGGCTGTCTCCAAGGTGTGTGATCCATGGCTAGAGGCATGAATTCAGACAAGGTCCCGAGATTGTGGGAAGAAAAGACCAGCAGTCATTCAAACTGGATAGTTCTGTAAAGAGGCTGCTATGGGCCAGAACCCGGGTCATATGCCCATGTGCCCAGGAAGACATGAAGATGAAAAAGACTTAGATCACAAGGGATGCAGCCAACCACAACGCAGAACAGCAGGGGGCGGGGCACAGGAAGTTACATCTAGCACCACAGACTCATTCTGTCACTGAGAGGAAGTGACATCCCCATCCAGGCAATGGCGGTGTCCAGTGTGGTGCTGAGCAAGCCCCAGATACTTAAGTTTGACACTACAACAGTGTCGAACCTGTTCCCAGAGGCTTGCGCGCACATAAAAGAGCGCTGTGGCCTTGAGTGGCTAGAAAGAGCCAGCTGGACACAGTCTCAGCCCTATGATCCCACACTCTGCTCAGGGACCCTGAGGGTAGGAGGAGGAAGCCTCAAGCTCTCCAGATATGGCTTTATGTCCAGAGATGCTTTCTTGGCAACAGGCCCTCAATGGGGCAACCCAAAACCTGTTTAGGCCAGCTAAGTCCGGTTTGGAAATGCAATGAGTGACTTTTACGTCCTACAACAGACAGTGTCAAAAATGGAGAGAAGCTGAATTTTTCAACCTGTGAACGCCTCTGCGTGTGCATACGTGTGAGAGTATATGTAGCGGACCAGTGAAAACCTTGAGTGACATCCTCAGGAGCATCCTTCATCGCTTTTTACACAGGGTCTCATTCGCCTGAAGCTTACCATTTAGGCTAGACTGGCTTGCTAACAGGCCCTAAGACGTCACCTCTGCCTATCCCATGCTGGAATTACAAGGGTGTGCCTGGCTTCTTCATGTAGGTCCTGGAGATTGAATTCCTGTCCCTATCTTACACGACAAACAGTTTTCTGACTCAGCCATCTCCCTAGTCACAGACTGGTCAAACTTTCTTCCTTTTCCCAGGCCCCCGTTGCCTCCCTACTGTGGTCTGTCCTTGCCCAGTGTCCTTACCTAGCTTTCTAGGGACATCACAGGAACACAACTCAAGCCCTACCTGCCACCTTGTCTTCTACCACTGGGATATTTCCTTTCAAACGTCCTCTCTTTCAGCCAGGCTGGACCTTGGGGAATCTGTCAGATCTCCTGGCCTCAAATCTAACACATTTTACAACTCATAAAAGCTTTCAGAACTGTATTCCTGATAAATAAGATTCTACTTAAAATAAATCTCATTTTCAGATGGCCCAAATTATTTCCCCTTTTAAAGAGAGATTGAGTCAAATTCTGTGCACAGAAAATGATGGAAAATTAATTTGAGTGTATGTAGCACCATCACTAAAGCATTCAAAAGAAAATTTCTTGAAGGCTTTGAACTAATTTGATGATGAACGTGTAAGAGGCTGATTTGACAGTCAGAGGAAGGTCACCTTGGCAGGGCTGAGCAACTGAAGCCTCAACTAGCCTTGGTTTACTTTTGTGATAGAACCCTGGCCTTGGGGTCTGAAGTCCCAGTGGCATTCTGATGCCTACATCTAGATAGAAAGGTTGACTTCCACAGGGGTTCTGACAGTTTCTGAAGGTCACTTCAAGGTTTAGGAATTAAGGAGCATATTGGCTGATGGTCAGCTTTCTGGTCAAATCTATTAACGCAAAGAACTAACTATTTATGAAAGGTTCTGGATTTCTGTTTGCCTGCTCTCCTGGCAGGGTCTCATTGAATAACTCAGACTGGCTCACATTCAGAACAATTATTCTGCCTCGGTGCTAAGAGAATGAGCTTGTTTCACCATGTCCTGCTTACAAAAGGTATTTTGGCAGAATTCGCTTACCCAGTTGGCCCTTTACCTGTTCCAAAGCCAAAATGACATATGTGGAGGAGTGAGGTGAAAAGACCGTGGGCTCTGACATCTTCAAGAACACCTGGTTTGGGGAGAATGTTCCTTCACCGATGATGTATCATGAGACTTTGATCTAGTTCCATCATCTGTGAAAGGGGCTGGCTGGCATGATAAAATCAACAGGAGGTAGGGCAGGTCATTGTAGAGTCCCAAACTCTACAAATAGGAGCTCTGTCGACAGGTACTGCCCAAGTCTAAGGTTGATCCTGTCACTGGCAATGGACAACGAATGTATCCAGGGGAGTTTTTATCACTATAAATCTCATGCCCATAGTGAGTTGAGTATGAGGCTAGGGCAGAGAATAAATGTAAAACTAAGAAATGAAGTCGAAAGTTCCACCTTTTTGTTATGTCTAGCTAAAAGCCCATACTACAGACAACCATGTCTACAGCAAACAGCCTGGATGTGGAGAAGCCTTCTCAACCTGGTTTGGGATGAATGGTGTTTCCTTTAGTTAATTCTGTTCTGGACATAACATCTACACCTTGCCTGAGCACCTCACCCTGAGTAGAACCCTCTTTAACTTCAGCCCCTGTTCATTATCGGATTTGGAGGTTCTGGGATATTCCAAGGAAAGCTGGACATCTACTTCTTGGCCAGATGCCATGTCTGATGAGGTAGGGAGAGGATTATGGGTTTCGGATTCAAATGAACCAAAGTGTCTCATTCTGAACTTTGCCCCTGCCTAACTGAGAGACCTGAATTAGATAAAAGCTCCTTAGGTTGGGGACCATAACAATATGAGGTCATGTAACAGAACATGTGGGTAGTGAGAAATTTGGCAACAGTAAGTTTACGAAGGTACAATGACCAAAAATTCATTCAAATTCAAACACATATTGAATCTGAGATGTTTCTGGCAGTGATCACCAATGTTGTATCCTGTGACTTTACCATTGTCTTAATTACACACACACACACACACACACACACACACACACACACACACACACACTTTGTGTGCCATCACATCGCACAATGCCAGAAAATGCTGCCTTGAAGTACCAAAGCTCACACGTGAGAACTATTGCATGCTGTGAGTTGCAGCATCCTTATTACACATACAAAATTCCCTCTCATCCAACAGAATAGTTTAATCATCATAAATGGACCTTGAACAGCTTTCCTGCCGACTTCTTCAGCATGTAGGCTTGAAACTGATATATCTTAGGATTGTATTGCATTAGATAAACAAGCATATCTCTCATTAGTCTGCAAATTTGCTTCCCTCTTCAATAATTGGTAAAATTATATGTATACCAAAGAATTGTTTTGAAACAACCTTCTTTGTGACTTATTATCAACAAATGCTTGATATTTTGTACCCATTTTCTATCTATGTTTCCAAGGTCACGTTACAATTTCTCAGGCTAAAGAGGGTTGCAAATAGGCAAGGTGTAAGAAGACCTGGGTCAGATTACATGACCTGTCTGAGCCTTGCTTTTTCTAACCTGAGCAAATGGGGTTCTACTACTTATTGCTTACACTTCTGATGAAAATTAAAAGAGGAACCTAAACCAAGTGCTTCAATAACACGTAACACCAGAGAGAGGCAGTCAAGACAGTTACCCACGTGGTCCTTTCGTGTTCAGTTCCTCACTGTGGGGATCAGACACCCACCCTCGAGATTTATAGCCCCATTCCATGAAGGAGAGACTCTAGGGTCATTTCTCAATGGAGGCGCCAGTATTTTCCCAAACTCAACGGACATATATTAGTCTCAGGTGGTTTCCATACACAAAAATTTTGTTTTTACTTTCAGCAATTTCTGATGGAAAGGTCCAGAGAGGAAACTTTTTTGAAAGTGGATTCCCTGGGAATAGAGGATTTGCCATCCCAGGTCAGACTCATGATTCATCCAGGCAGAATTTTGCTGCTCCCAGCAGCCTTTGGAGCACGATGGTGGTTCCTGCTCTAGTGAATAGCTCTGCCCACTGTAAATCTGCCTAACTTTGCTTGGAATCAATTTATGTTTCCTACTTCCACCACCTCTTGGGGATATGGTCTTTCTGAGCTTATTGCCTCTTGTGCAAGGCCTATCTTGCTTCTCTACTGGGTTTGTCTTGTTCCAGCTTCGTGCCATTGATTCTCTTTATTCTTTCTGGACATCTTATAGACATGCCCAGATATCTCATTAACATGGGACATACAGTTGTTCCCAAACTACCTGGTGACCAAGGCCTTGGGGATTTAGATTCAGTAGATCTTGTTTGGGGTCAGGAGGGAATCTTTATATAAAAACTCTTCTAATGGACTCTGATACCCAACTAGATTTGTACACTAGTCCCATCTATCTCATCGTCTTGATGTAAGAATGTCAGTGATTCTTGTGATCTTGTCAGCACTGGAGAAGAGATCCAAGTTGAGAATTACTCCATCTCTGTCTAGGGCCCCCTAACGGCCATCAACTTTCTGTTTTGGAGACTTCAGCCTTTCAAGACTGTTTACACATGAGTCTCTGCTGCCCTCTGTCTTTCTAAAGAGAATAATTTGCTCATTGAGATGGGTCCCCTGAATGGAACTGTGTGTCCCTGGGACTTCATCTAAGCAGACAATCGTTATTCCTTATTTCAAGCATTCCTGAGAAGTTGCTCACTTGGAACAGGCTCTATTTCCAGAACCTTACCCAAGGTGTGTACTATTGCACAACGCTGGTGATATTGACCACGGTGAGTTTAGGTAGTCTTCTGGAACAAGGGATGTTTGTGGAAGCAAGGCAGGCATGACTTCTAGGCCAAGATAGGTTAGAACCACAAAAGGCAGGCAGATAGCAGGACCAATGCAGCAGTGTCCCTGGAGTAGAAGGCATTGCTCATGGCATGGTCTTGTAATTGAAAGAGACTGGTCTAAGATCCGAGGGGGGAGGAAATTAGCTGTAGTAGCTCCAGGGAGCAGAAATCAAGGCGAGCTTTGAAACTTGGATGGAAGCTATTTGTTTTCTTTGGAGAATGTGTGTATGGGAGACCGGAACCTTAGCTACCTGAGAGGCAGGTCCATCTACATGAGG